CCCCAAAACCCCAAAACCCCAAAACCCCAGTCTAGTGCCAAGAATTGATATAAATTTTATTTGTAAAATATTACTCCCTTAATTCAACTATGGCAGTAGCTAGGCCTCTCGGAGACACATTCTGGCTCACAGCTTTATATCTACTCCTTTGGCCAATCTTGGCCATTCTGGGTGCATCCCATTTAAGTCCAACGATATCATCTGTACCTATATACATCAGTTAGAAAGCTTCATTGAGCCAATTCGGTAATTTGAACAATAGAAAACCAGTCTTTTAGTATCGAAAAGGTTAAGAATGATTAAAGAAGTTCTTGAAGAATCAGATTTTGAGTTTAGAGAGAAATTGCCTTGAGGTTATTAAGGTTTGAGAATAAATATGCCTCAACACTTGAGGCTTTGTTCATAAGAAATAGACTTAAGTAGTAAAGCTTATTTTTATGAATACTTCTTATTAAATGCTAATTTTTCATTTTTACCCAAAAATATCAGTCATATGGATAGAATAAAGTAGACTCTACGATTAAAAGCAAATACGATAACTTACCAAGTGAAATCCTTTGTCTTGAAAAGTTAGAAAACCCATATTCCTTGATTGTTTTCTTCTTTTTAAATCCTGATTGCTTGAGACTTAGTTCAAATTCTCCTGTTCTCTTGAGCTCCTTTCTTTGCCTATTCTTTGTAATTTTTGTAATTAAGTTCTTGATTTCCTTTGCTTTAGAATACCTCAGACTAGTTGTATTAGGCTCTTTCTCAGACTTTTTCGGAGATGAAGGATTATACTCACTTTTCTTTCTATAGTATTAGAGGCTGTCTTTACAGAATAGTTTTTTTCCTTATCTGAAAGTTATTCTGTGGCCTAGACTTATTAGAATTAAGAAATACATTGGAAATAGTGTATTTTTACTAAAATTTCCACTAGAGTTCTCTCAAATTTGTCTGCTTTTATTTATTCATTGTTCTCTCTTGCTTAAAACTTGACATTTTAGGATAACTCTTGAGGAGGCCTAGATCAGCTTCACTGATATTGTCGTAGAAAGAGCTGTTGCAGTAATGAGAACTATTCATCTGAGAGTTGTAAAGATTATCAAACATTGACTGGGATCCATTGAAATTCCTTTGATGACCAACTGTTTGCTTTCCTATACATAAAAACTATAAGCCAACCTTTCAGAGGAAACAGCCTCTCCTTTATCACTGACTTATTGATTTCTTTCATCTTGGGATAAAAGTTCTTAGGAGAAGTGAACATTTTACTATCGTCAAGAATTGGTTTGGTTCGTGTCTAAGGAAATGGAAATGACTAATTACCTGCATTTTGCTGTACTTTGATATCAAATTGAGCTTATTTTGTTCTCTTCCTACTTCTGTTCCTTAGTACAACCTTTTGACCCATACTATTTCAACCCCTTCACAACTAAGTTGAAGATGGATGTCTTCAGGATATTTAAAATATTTTCAATAAAGTTTTCAGGTAATTTTTTGTCTTTCAGAAGCTCAGCTGTATTTTTCTTAATATCCATAAAGGTATCAAACTTCTTATTGGGCTTAAGTACTTTCTTGAGATTCTTAGAATCTCTTTTTAGAGGCTTGAGGCCTCTCTTCATTCTCAAGTTGTCCAGTGCTTTCTCAAAGTTATTTCTCAAAAAGGATAAAATGAGATATCTTTGTCCAATTCGTCATTTTAAGATCTTCATCATCTTGCTTCTACACTGGTGTATCAATTTTGGGTTTTAAATAAAGAAGGATTGATATTATAAAAGGACTTCAATAGATTAATGATAAATTTCAGTACTGCTGCACTTACAATAAATTCAGGAATAGGAAACTTCATCTCTGCTCTCCAGTCTCTGATCCTTTTAATGCTCCCTTGGTCCTTCTCTTTTGGAGAGACAACACTTTTACTTTGAGAATTAAGGGAGAGGTGAGGCATTTTTATAGACCCACTATCTTTTCTGTATCAAAAATTATAGAAGAAATTGAAATCTCTAGGGAAAAATTAATATGATAAAAGCATCTATCTAAAATTTTGAGCATTGGATAGAACTATAAATATCTTTCGCAAGAAAATAGTGGAAAGGTATCATAATATTCATCAACAAAAAGCAATCAGGTTTGCCGAAATAAAAGCTTGCCTAAACTCTAATTCTTAAATCCACAATATATTTCTATAAAATTATTGGACTATTCCTTCTACTAAACAATTCCCCAAAGCCTTAGTCCCACCGTAAGCACCACGGACCTTGTTTTTAATATGCTTTGTTCTCAGTGAAACCCTGTATCAGCACGTGAAGAGTCAAATTCGCTCTAGATGTAGTCACATATAGACGTACCATTTATATTCAATTATTTGTAATTAATGAGGGGTTTTGGGGTTTTGGGGTTTTGGGG